TATCTTAACTTAGCACCTATTACACCGTTGGCAGCGTGAGGTGCAACAGCAAAACTAGTGCGAATTTCTTTTTCCTTCTTCCCAATTTCAGATGATTCTTTTTTTAAGTGTAGATTTAGTAACCTTAGCATTTGGTCTTTTTTTCTTTTCCTAATAAATTGAGAACTTTTGCCTTTGCACTGAAATGGAAGTATTTTATGGCTTCTCTTTGACTACTATTGCACTTTAGGTCACTTGAATACAAGCACTGTAATATCTTGACTATAGCTCCATTAACTGAGATGGTTAGTAAGTGACTAACAGGCAGGTAGCCTATACAGTGTATATACTAGATAAACAAAAAATTCCCATCCCATGGGAGCAGGATAGCATGAGATTTCATCACACGACAAGAATGGTCCACAACTTAAAACTTAGGAATTGTGTTTATTTCTAGAATTCTCCATTTAATAGTTTCAGAACACAGTTGATCACACATAACCAGAACCACAGAAGATGAAACCACAGCTAAAGGGGAACTAGTCTATTTCACAATATCTTGCTGTGGGTATAAACAAGTACAAGCTTAAGGGAAGGAAACTGGAAGAATCTACTGGAATTTTAAGTTTCTGTGTATTCTGAATCAGCAGCCCAGCTTCCAGGAATTTATCCTACAAATGTAATAGATGGCAACCTAAAGATGTGCAAGGGTGTTCACTACAGCCTTTACTTAGAAACACTTGGAAAGAACCTTTAATGTCTACTTATAATAAAATGACTGATAAATTGTAAGTCTATACAACAAAGTAATAATACACTTGAAAAAAACAAGATAGCCAAGTTTAAAGTACAAAAAGCAAACTGAAGACAAACTTTTTGAATATATTATTCATAATAAAAACATGAAAAAATGATGGAGAAAATTTAGATACTTTGTCATTTTCAGAATAAGAATCTCAGAAGTCTGAACAGTTAAACCTGCCCATCCCCACCCTCATCTCACCTTGCCTGACCTCAACCAATTTTCTACCTACACTGCTCATTTATCTGTCTCCTCTATATGACTCAGTGATTTCAAAATCTCTTCTCGGCCAGGTAACAGTGGCTAATGCCACTAATCCTAGCTACTTGGGAGGCTGAGATACAGAGGATTGAAGTTTAATGCCAGCCTGGGCTAACAGTTCACAGGATCCCATCTCCAAAATAACCAGAGCAAAATGGACTAGAAGTGTGGCTTAAGTGGTAGAGGGCCTATTCTGCAAGGGTGAAGACTTGAGTTCAAACCCCAGCCCAGAAAAAAAAAAAAAGATGTCTCCTGACATAAAACAATCAAAATGTATATTATGTTTATTGAGGCTGGGCGTGTGTGGTGGTACACCTGTAATCCCAGCACTCTGGAGGCTCAGGCAGTAGGGTCACAAGTTCAAGGCCAGTCTGAGCTACACAGCAAGACCCTATCTCAAATAAATAAAATAAAATATATACCTAAAAATTTTAATTACCTTTCATTTCATTACTACAATTCATTTTTGCATATTCCTATGGTGGAAATCTCTTGGTACAAATTAAGACTCAATGTTATTTCATCTTTCCTGAACTACAATGCCTGTTAATTTTAAACAAAGAATACCCTTCCTTACTTAAATATACTTTATAGGGCCAGGAATGGTGGTACCTGTAATCCTAGCTACTTGGGAGGCACAGATCGGGAGGACTGTGGTTTGAAGCCAGCTTGGGCAAAAAGCTAGGGAAACTTATCTCACCAAATATGAAAGGTATGACAGCAAACCTGTAATCCAATTACAGAAGGCATACATAGAAGACTCTTGCTCTAAGGCCAGCCCCAAGCAAAAACAGAAGACTCTATATGAAAAATAACTAAAAAACTGGGTGTGGTTCAGGGGGTAGAGCACCTGCCTAGCAAGCATAAGGCCCTGAGTTCAAACCTCAGTAGCACCAAAAAATAATAAAGAATATACTTGTTTCCTACTACCCTTATAAATCCAGCTGATCAAGCTTCCAAGGACAAAATATGTTAGGATCTCAAAATCTCTATTTTTGAGTTATTAGATAGAAGCTGGGTGTGGTGGCTCACATCTGTAATACCAGCTACTCAGAAGGCAAAGATCCAGGAGGATGCAGCTCAAGGCCATTCTGGGCAAAAAGTTAATTGAGACCCCCATCTCAACCAACAAGCAGGGCATGGTCACATTCCTGTGATCCCCGCTATGCAAGAGGCCACAAGAAGGAGGATTGTGACCCAAGGCTGACCTAGAGAAAAACTTGAGACCCTTTCTGACAAATGACCAAAGAAAAAAGGGGGTGTAGCTCAAGCTGTAGAAACACTGTTTAGCAAGCTTGAGGCCGAGTTCAAACCCCAGTAGCGTCAAAAAAAAAAAAAAGATGGAACTAATGGATCATAGCTCTGTGTTTATCCTCTTTCCCAATTCTTTTCTTTCTTGCAGTGGGGAGGAATGCAGGGCCTTCCATATGCTAGGGAAGTGCTCCATCACTGAGCTACATCCCTAGCCCCAATTATTCTCTCTTCAAAATTATTGGGTACTTCACTATTTTGAAGAATGCCAGCAAACGATGATTCACTATCAGTGTTTGTATGGCCTGGAAGCTAAGAATGTGTTTTACTTTTCTTTTTGAAGTTTTAAAGAAGTTTGTCCATTTTATTTAAGTTGTTGAATTAAAAAAATTTTTATTAGCTGCATATAACACTTGTACAGGGGATACATTTACATATGTGCTTACAATATGTTTTACATTTTTAAACAATTTGCAGGGGGAGGGTGTCAAAGAATATTTCATGACACATGAAAACTTTATGAAATTCAATTTTGGCATCCATAAGTTTTACTGGAACAGTCATTATCATTCATTTAGGATTATGTAATGATGTTTTCACAGTATAAAGGCAGAGTATGGGTTGCAAAGCCAAAAAGACTCTTCAATGGCTCTTTATAGGAAGTTTGCCAACCATGCTCTATGTCACGCTACATGCTTTTCATAATTTTACAGTTTTAACTAAACATCTCCACCCTTTCCTCCCATATTCAATATAAAAGTCCCCTTAATAACCTTTTATTCTCCAGGCAAGCACGGGTTTTTGTTTTGTTTTGTTGGTGAGACTGGGATTTGAACTCAGGGCCTCATGCTTGCTTGCTAGGCAAATACTCTACCACTTGAGCCAGGCCCCTCGCCTTGCACATTCTTAATAGTCCTTAGAAATGCACCTCCTCCTGTAATTTCCTTAATCACATTCCTGGCATCTACAAACAGAAAGCCAGAAGGAGTGCTTAAGTATCCTAAATGCTACAAATTAACAAATCAAAACCAGAACCAAATTTCACTCTCCCTCCAAAGCCAAGCCTAAAGAGGCTAACTGCCTAGTTGTGGCTTTCAAATTAAGGATGTTAGAATTGAGATGTTTGTGAACTGTAACAAGTGTTGTTGCTAAACTCTCTAATGACCAAAGAGCAATGAAAGGAAAAAAATTCCTGAATGTAATTTTTCTCAAGAGGAAAGAAAAGAAGGGACAGCGGAACGGATGATGGGAGCCGGTCCAGGTGGCTCAAACCTGTAATCCTATCTACTCAGGTTTTGGAGATAGGGAGGGAGGATGGCAGTCTAAAAACTAAAACAAAAAGGGCTAAGGATTTGGCTTAAGTGATAAGGTGCCTCTCAAGCCCATGGCCCTGAGGAAGGGAGGGAGAGAGGAAAGAAACAGTAAAAAAACAACTGTCTTAAAGTACATCTATTGTAATTAGCATTGTGATTCTTAATCTTTATACCTCGGACACTACAGGTTTTTCTCCAATAAGTAGTTTTGGAATCCCAGGAAGAGAGGTTAAACACTGCATGGTATTTGTAAAATGAATTACAAAACTTACCAGGAACCAGTCGGACCACTTCTCCAAGAAGGATACACTAGAGTTTGCTCATCTCTTTCAAACCTGCTGCTTGCCAAGTGCTAGGGGAGGGAGGAAGGGAGGAGCCAGCTACCTTTGCTCCGGGCCGTGTCTTCTAGCTTCTGGCTCCTCCCGAGCCCCATCACGCCTTTACAGCCCACTTCCCCAGCCTCATCACCTCACCCCCTTCCTCCAAAGTCACAGACCTGCGAAGCTTCCAGCAGGGAGCTATAATGCAAAAGTGTGAATTCCTCCTCCTCCCCGCAACCCCCAAGCACCATCAGCTCTTGCAGAGAAACTTAGGTCACTGCCCCCAGAGTGGGAAGAACGAACGGGCCCTGGCTCCACCCAGTCACCGAGTGTCGCGGAGCGCTTGCCGCGGTCTGACCACGTCTGAGGTGCCGAGGACACAAAAGTGAGCAGCAGGGTCGTGCGCGGGACCAGCTCCCGAGGCTCCCCCTCCAACAGAGGGGGATTCTTTCGATAAAAGTCGCCAAGCAGGAGCACCTGCAGCCTAGCACGAAGAGACCCTGGCTACTCCCTAAGTACGAAAAGGCCAGACCTCAACTAGTCGGAAGTGACGTGGCAGCTGGGACCCGCGGGTCCGCCACGTAATTGGTCGCCGCCTCAAATAGCCACCCTTTTCCCCGGGACTGACCCGAAGAGAGGGAAAGTGTAGTCGAAAGCCCTCAGCCCGCCCTCGGCGACTCCCTGCCCCACTCGGGACCAGCAGCGCCTGGCCACAGCCTGGGCCAGCAACCTGGACAGGACAGCCTCGTCAGCCTGGGCGCCGATACGGCGCCCTGTGAGCAATGGGGTTCAGCGCTCCACCACGCGCATGCGCGGCCCTCTATCTCGGGAGGATTCTTCAGGTGACCTGCACGCCAGCATCTCAGCCACCTGCCATTCCGGGTCCCTTCTCGCCCTTGTCTCCTCCAGCTGGTTCTCACCTCCGGCCGCGCTCCTCCTTCTTCCGCAGCCACCGTTAGGCCCTTCTGCGGCCGCCCGCCGACACCTCAGCTTCCACGGACACGAGTCTCGGCTCGGCTTCCGCTTCCGGCGAGTATTGTGTGTCGAGCCGCGGGGCGGGGGCGAGGGGAGGAGGAAGGAGGGAGGCAGCGCTCCAGCGGCTCCGCGCCCCGCACTCCCGGACCCGAAGCCGGGAAGGTAGGTGCTGTCCCGCCGCCGCGCCGGGGCGGGATGCCCGCCCCCGTGGCCGGGTCCTCTCACCGCGTCCCAGCGCCGGGCGACTGCGTCACCGGCCCCCCTCACGTAACCACAGCTGCCTCCGCCCGCCTTGGGCCCGGGCGGACGTTTTGCCGCCCCGGCGACGTCAGCGCGTCCGGCGTTGCTTGGCTACCCCGCCGATCCCCCGTCCCGCTGCAGCTTGTCTCCCCGGGTGAAACTGACGCCGTCACCGCGGGTCTCGGCTGCGTCATAACGGCAGGCATCCCACCTTCATGTCACACCTCTTCCTCACCTGGACACGCATCCCTTTCTCCCCAACCACGACGTTTCCTCTCCCCATGCCCGCCAGTCCCCCTGCCCCACATATGGCAGAAGATGGAGACGGGGGTGGGACAGTTATCAAAGCTCAGGAGAGGGTCACAGGTGGAACCCAGACAGTAATAGAAACAAAATGAGGACGTCCCTGAAGTTCGTCCTTCTGTTGAGCCAGGAGGAATAGAGGGAGAGGAAGGACCAACCCAGAGGCTCCCAAGGCCTCACTCTGGCTGTCCTCTCCATTCCCCTCCATCCCTCAAGCTCCAGATCTTCCCCATTCTTCACTAAGCCTTTCCTCGTTTCTTTTTCACACCAATTCTTTGCCAGTCTAGATCCATCCTAGTCCCTAAGTGTGCATACGATTCAACTCATCCAAGTGAGGAAGCCGCCCAATCTAGAAGACCGGAAAAGGGGCAGGGTCACTGATCAAAGTTGGATTCTAATGGGTAGAGGAAAAAATACCATACAACTGAACAATTCTTCTGATAAAAGAGGAAGAAATTCGGGTCCAAATAAGTTCCCAGCTCCTACTTCAAATTAAGCACTTTCACACGTACCATCAATATACAAGAATAGGGGCAGGGGCTGTAGTTTGGTGGTAGAGCACTTGCCTAGCATGCACAAGACCCTGAGTTCGATCCCCATTATTGTTATTACATGGCTACTTTGTGCAATGCATAGACCTACCAGATTTCTTTTTTTTTTTTTTTTTTTGATTGGGTCTCTTTGGAGAGAAGGAAAAAAGAGGTATGAGGATAGAGAAATCAGCTTTTTTGTGTATAAAAGTACTGATGTTTTAAGGATGGAGTGGAGAACCAGCTGTTTTAGAAATCTCACATTTCCAAGTCTGGGGCTTTGCCTGAGGAAGATCTGATTGCCTCTTTATTTCATTTAATTCCTAACCTCTCCAGAGGTGACGACAAAGTACATCCAAGGAATTAGTTATTGATAGCTGTTGTGAAGGATTTCAGTCATTGCTGAATATTTAGAATGGATTCGTCAGCTCTCTGTTGAAGAAGTTGCCAGGTGCCAGTGGTTCCCGCCTGTAATCCTAGCTCTCAGGAGGCAGAGATCAGGTCAGGAGGCAGAGGTCAGGAGGATCACAGTTTGAAGCCAGCCCAGGCAAATAGTCGGGGAGACCTATTTTGAAAAGACACAACACCAAAAAGAGCTCAAGTGGCAGAGTGCCTGCCTAGCAAGCGTGAGGCTCTGAGTGCTGGTGGTACCCCAGTACCACCCAAAAAAAAGAAGAAGAAAAAGAGTTACTGCCCTAGGCTTGGTAGTATACTCTTCTGTAGAGTTGTTAATGCTGTTATCACTTTTCAGCTGTTCCAAATATTCAAATTCATGCAAATAGAAATGGGATGTTATGTGAAAAAGTTCAGTCCAAGAAGACAGCAGACTTCCTCTAGGCTAGTCTGGTAAAAGAAAAAAAAATTCAATTTTTTTCTACAAAGAAGAGATTGTTACCTTTGCTTAATTCAATTTATTACTCTTTGAAAGAAAGGAGTGGCACAGAATCAAGCTTAGGCTCCAATAGACTATAATAATAAACTCATCAGTGACATTAAACTTTAAGACATACCCAACTTAAGAAATATTAATACTTTAGCTTGTATGGCACTTCTCACTTATACATTTCTTTTCCATCTATTAGAAAAATATGATAAACTAGGATACAATGGTCTGGAACTACTGGTTCTGTGATACAAGTACAATGAGCCTGGACCAACGGAAGGAAGCTTCTGTTTGTAACAAGAAAGAGCAGAGGCAAGAGACGAGAGATTGGGGTTGTTCATCAGTGTGCTGAAGAAGGAAAGATAGGTTGATGGCTGGGAGATGGAGAAGCATGATGAATCTAATGGAAGAGAAGATGGAAAATACCAAGATAGGGCTAACTCTGGAGTTACGGCTTAAGATGGAGGTGAATGTCAGGCCAGGAATTTAAAAAATTAAACCTCCAATGAATATTTTTCCCTTTTCTTTCTCCTTCCCCACCCCCCAAGTTAAATAATGGCAGAAACAAGTTTATTAGAGGCTGGGGCCTCTGCAGCCTCTACAGCTGCTGCTCTGGAGAACTTACAAGTGGAGGCGAGCTGCTCTGTGTGCCTGGAATATCTAAAAGAGCCTGTCATCATCGAGTGTGGGCATAACTTCTGCAAAGCTTGCATAACCCGCTGGTGGGAGGACCTAGAGAGGGACTTCCCTTGTCCTGTCTGTCGGAAGACATCCCGCTACCGCAGTCTCCGGCCTAATCGGCAACTAGGCAGTATGGTGGAAATTGCCAAGCAGCTCCAGGCCGTTAAGCGCAAGATCCGGGATGAGAGCCTCTGCTCCCAGCACCATGAGGCCCTCAGCCTCTTCTGCTATGAAGACCAGGAAGCTGTATGTTTGATCTGTGCAATTTCCCATACTCACCGGGCCCACACCGTCGTGCCACTGGATGATGCTACACAGGAGTACAAGGTGGGCACCCAGACACATGCCAATGTGGGGAACAAGGGAGAAGCAGCAGAGGAAGGCATACTCCCTGGGTAGAGGATTTTAAGCTCCTGAGGAAAGGCTGTATCCGATTCTCACTCTATATTCCTCTCAGAGCTACATACACAGTGGGTACACAGCATATCTAATCAATTGTTTTCTACATGAAGGAGTAGTGGAGAGGAGTACCCCAAAATTTCTATGACTTTCGCAACACATTTGAATCTTAAGGGTGAATATTGATATATGTGTTCTTGGAATATATCAAATTTTTCATAAATGAGATAAACCACATGGAGAAGATCAAACTTTGGAAGGACTGAAAAGTACTCTGATTTCTTCAATCTGCCTCCCTGCTCAGGATGGCTCCTTGTTTTCCTGTTGGCTGGAAATAGGTAACATCACACTTTAGACTGACACCCACCAGACTAAGGTGAACCAGTCTGTTCACTTTATGTTACCAGATAATGGGTAACATGGCCTTTGGTTTAACTGACTGCTGGACACAGGATAAATATTTGAGTAATAGAAACTAGAGATTTTACTCTTAGCACTTCATCATGTACTTTGCTTAATTATGTTAACAAATCTTGAAACAGTATCTAAGGTAATTTATAGTATAAGTAATCAAGTTTTTTTTTTACTTTTAAGTGGTTAAAACTGGATGAGAGACAGATATAAAGAAGGATATCAGAGTACAAAAGGTAGCTTTGGCCTGGGGATGTAGCTCAGTGGTAGAGCATGTGCTTAGCATGTACAAGGCTCTGGGTTTGATCCATACCACCATCACCCCCAAAATAGTCTTGATAGTAACAGGCAGTTGTCCATAAGAAAATGGGTAGGTCTCCCTTAAAGGTGACTTACTGAAAACTCTCCACCCAGCCCTTAAGAAAAATAGACATCCACCTTTAGCCATTTACTAGAAACTCCCCATCTGACCTAGAAGGAATGACCCACCCTTAAGCCATTATCTCAGGAGGGTCAGAGGAACATTGAGAATTATCCCACCCAGTGACCTTCCTGGGACTTCACAACTCTCTTGCTGGGAACTCTCTGCAGGACCACTTCTCCACAATAAACCCTGCCGTTTGGAAAAATCAAAAACAAAAAAACAGTAGGGATGGAGGACACGAGTTGGTGACAACTGGAGAACTAGATTCAGTGGGAGGAAAGTTGGGTGAGCAGAGAAGCTGATGGGAACAAGGGAATGGCAAGAGGAGGGATCTGTAGGGAGTTGACATCTCAAATTATGGGCAAGGAAAGGCGTTGGATCAAGAGGTGGTAAGATGGATAGCTGGGGACAGAACTCATTGGTAGAATGTTTGCCTAGTATGTGCAAGGCCCTGGGTTTGATCCCCAGCATTGCAAGAAAAAAAGATTAGTAATTAAAAAAAAAAAAGGGCTAATTTCTGATCAATGATGTACCAGCCAGCCCCAAATGTTACCTCTTCCACTTTTTCCCACCATGCAGGAAAAACTGCAGAAGTGCCTAGAGCCCCTGGAACAGAAGCTGCAGGAAATCACCCGCTGCAAATCCTCTGAAGAGAAGAAGCCAGGGGAGCTTAAGGTAAAAGCAGGTGATCCCATTGGCACTCCTCTACAGGATTATTTGCCTATGAAGGAATTAACCTACCAGTTCTGGTTCATTAAAAAAATGCTGTTCTCTCAAAATTAAGCTATTTTATTGGGCTTGACTATCATTAAACACTATACTTAAATTCATGACTATTTGTCATGAATTAAATGTTGAGGAGAAGGATGTAATTGATGAAGGATAGACCAAACATTTGACCTCTCATGAGTTGAGGGAGTTCTTGCCCAATGTTGTCTTTTTTTTCCCATAAAGAAGGAAAAAAGACTCCTGAGTTTGTAGGGAATGAGGAAAGGAGAATTTGGTAGGTTCACAAGGGAGGGAGAAGGAGCTGACCAAGAACCCACAGAAGAATTGCCTCATGTCATTAGGATCACATTCTCATAATTCAAGTAATTACAAGCAAGCTAGATAATATTGGTTCATTCCTAGAATATCCTTCTGCTTCCCATCCTTCACTTACAGGATCCTATCCATCTGTCATCTGGGACAAAAGTCACTTCCTATGCAGCATTTCTGGCCCTTCAGAAATTAACTTTCTTAAATTTCATACTCTTTTTGGCAGTACTAGGGTTTGAACTCAGTGCTTTGTGTTTGTGAGGCAGGCTTTCTACTGCTTGAGCCAATCCTCCAGCACTTTTTGCTCTGGTTAATTGAAATAGAGCCTTGCTTTTTGTCCAAGCCAGCCTGGACTGTGATCTCTGGGATGACAGGCGTGAGCCAGCACACCTAGCTTTTTTCCATTAATATGGGGTCTCACAAACTTTTTTGCCCAGGCTGGCCTGGAACCATGATCCTCCCAATCTCAGCCTCCAAAGTGTAGCTGGGATTACAGGAATTCGCCACTAGCATCCAGCTCATACACATTTTCATCTTTTTAGCATTACCTTATTTACAGTGTGGTGTTTTGGTATCAGAGTTTTTTCTTGTACTAGACAATGAATGTCACTAGTAGTAGTGGTGAAAATAATAACTAGAATTGAGTCCTGTGCATTAATTCATTGGGTGTCTGTGACATTCCAAATTTACAAGGTTGTTACTGAGTCTTGGAATTCTGCCCAGGTTGGAGGTGTAAGAGTTCAGGCAAGACTTGGGACAGGTGGGATATAGAGAAGCTACAAGACAAAGAGAAGAAGATCCTGAGGCCGTCTTTGACAGGGGTAAACTTAGATACTCTATAAGGTAGGTATTATTACTCCCAGTTTACACAGGAAGAAATGGAACTCGGATGAGTATCTGTCTAGTCCAAAACCAGGGATGCTTGGCCTTTGCAAATCAGTAACTTTTTTTTTTTTTTGGTGGTACTGGGGTTTGAACTCAGGGCATCACACTTGCAAAGCAGGTTCTTCCTGCTTGAGTCATACCTCCAGTTCATTTTGCTCTAGATATTTTGGAGATGGGCCAAACAAATACTCCCAAAGTATTTGTTTGGGCTGGCCTTGAACTGCAATCCTCCTGATCTCAGCCTCCCAAATAGCTAGGATTATAGTATGAGCCTCTGGCACCTGACTAGAAGTCAGTAAATTTTTATTCAGCTCCTGGCATAGACTAAATCATGTGTTTGACACTGGATATTAATGATGAACGAAAACAGTCCATGGCCTCCTTGAACTTAAAGTCAGGTGAAGAAAGTAGATAATGTCATGGCAAAAAAGGATAGCTGCAAGTTCTTAAGAAGACAACATAGAAATCTAACCTTGTTAAAGGCTTCCAGAAAAGATAATGGATATTTGGGATTGAGATTTACGGATCATCAGAAATTAAACATGGGTTTTAAAGTAGAAACACTAATTTTCAAATGATAAGTTATAATATTTCAACAGAAAGTAGCAATATTATTTTAACATATTTTAACAAAGCAAGCATTGGGACTATTAAAAATTTCCACTAATTTTTGTCACAAAGGTATATGTTCAAAACAATTCTTTGTTCTTTTGGAGGGCTCCTGAGAAATTTAAAATACAAAAAAGGGAACTTTTTTCCCTAGTCACTTGATTTTACTCTTCTTGTTGATTACTTTCTTGATGGAAAAGGAAATAAAAGCTTAAAATGTTTGGGTAAAACATTTTTTAAGTTGTAAATTATCATTTCAATGGTTTCTGAAACTACCACACAAAACATTCTTTTTGTGACCATTTGAATTCTTCCTCCTCCCTGTCCCTCATCCCAGCCTCCAGGATCAAACTCAATTCCTCCTTTAAAAAATAGTTTATAGGGGTTGGGGATGTCCCTCAGAGTAGAATATTTGCCTAGCACACAGGAGGCTCAATCCCCACCCAGCACAGCAAACAAACAAATTAAAATGTTGTAATTAACTATGCTGAAGCGGAAAATATAGGTAAAATAACTTATCTACATAATCTTAAAGAGTGTATCATGCCCAGGACTGGAGGTATGGCTCAACATAGAGAACCTGCTTTGTAAGCCCAAAGCCCTGAGTTCAGGCCCCTGTCCCACTAAAAACAGAGACTATTATGTCCAAATGTAATGTACTGTAACACCACAGAGGTTATTTTTAATAAAATCTAATGTGTAGGTAGTTGGGCATGACTACTATTAAAGACCCTACAATGTAGTTTTAGGCTTTCTCCCATATGTGACATCACCAAGAATGCAACAAATACAAGTGCACACTGAGATACACGTGTTATGATGTGACTCAAACACCACTAGCAGCTTAGCTCTTGGTGACTTGATTTTTCAAAATAAAATTTTTGGTTAGTAAGTTCTAAGTATTTTTTATCTTAATAAGTTCTGTTCGGCCACTCCTAAAAAATTCAGTTATATTTAAACCATGTTAGAATTATTCTTTTGTATTTATTTATAAAATGGCATTTAAGTCCAGGCCTACATCTTCAGTATACAGCTGAACATAGAAAATGATGCAGGATTGTCTCACATTGGAGAAGTGCTAAAATCTTTGTCACAGCACACAAAAAAAAGTTCCTGTTTGTAAGATGAGGGAGAGATCACCACGGCACAGTGGTTCTTTTATACCTATAATCCCAGCTACCTGGGAAGCAGAGATTTGGCAGATCATGGTTCCAGGTTAGCCCAGGCAAAAAGTTAGTGAGACCCCATCTCAACAAACAAGTTGGGTGTGGTGACATGTGCCTGTCATCCCAGCTACAAGGAAGGCAAAAGTAGGAGAATCAAGGCCCAGGCCAGCCAGGCAGAAAACAGGAGAGCTTACCTGAAAAATAATTAAAGGGCTGGAGGCATGGTTGGAGTGGTAGTGTTAGAAGTTGCAAGCACAAGGCCCTGAGTTCAAACCCCAGTACAACAACAACAACAAAAAACTGTCCTATGAATACAAAGTAAAACAAGAAATGATTATTGGTTCAAGAAATAATTATCGTCCATTAGAATGAAAGTCTTTTTGCTTCTTATTTACCACTGTTATGAATCCTCAGCTACATACATACACACATTTGTCCTTCAGGGCAAATGTGGGAACATCCTGCTCCAGTGCTACCTGAGAAGACAGCAGGGGAAGATGAAACACCAAATAGTTGTGGAACTAAAGCTAGTCAGTGGATGTTGGAAACCAGTTTGAAACCTAGAAATGCCAGGCTCGTAAGCCCTGTCCAGACTTTACATCCCCACCACTCTTTTCATCTTCAGTCCTACCCTTCTATCCCTACCCACTTCCTCTCCAGAGTCTGGTCTCTGCTTCTCATTTTGCCTCCTACTGGGGTTGATGCCTCCCCACCAGTTGCATGGCACTTGGAGACTCCTGCACTGGGGAGATCACTTCTTGTTGCAGAGAGGTACCAAAGAGAGGATGTGCTGATAATCCTCAGAAAGTGATATGACTAGTGTTTATTACCAAATTTCAAGAATGTCAGAGGTACAAGTGTATGTGCTGGTGCAGAGAAAGCATGTTTCAATTTTTAAAAGCAACTAATTTACTAACAAGCATCTGGAACCTGTTACTGGATGGGAACTGCCAATGCTCTGAAGTAACTTGAAACTATTTAACAGGTTCAGCTCTGAAATCTAAATGTATATTTTGTATCAGCCCATTAAACTCTTACTTATTCTGACAGTTTCCCAGTTATTCTGGTTTTTTTTTTTTCCAGGATAATATCGTACATAAAATGACGACAATCTTATCTTTACCTTTCTAGTATTTATACTTTCTTTTTCTTAACAGATTGTATAAACTAAACTTCAGAGTTAAGAATAGCAGAAATATCTCTGATATCCTTAATAATAGATGCCATCACATTATTGAGCCCTTATATCTTGAATGTATCTTATTAAAACATAAAAGTACACCTTTTTTAGAAGTTAATTTACTGAAGAAAATAAAACTTTTTCAACGTTGATTTTTGTTTTAATCTGTCCAGTGGTCTTCACTATCAAGTCATATGTGGGGCAATGGGGATGGCACTAGTCTTTATAGGAGGAGATTTCAGTGAAGAGAAAAATGAATGTCCTGTTAAACTATGTCCAGTGACAATGGAAGTCTGTGTTAGCTCATGTACCTGGTGGGTCAGAGAGAGGCTCCCTCATGACCCCCACCCTGCTAACACAGCATTCTCCCTCTTTTCTCAGAGACTAGTGGAGAGTCGCCGACAGCAGATCATAAAAGAATTTGAAGAGCTTCACAGGCGACTGGACGAAGAACAGCAGGTTTTGCTTTCACGACTGGAGGAGGAGGAACAGGACATTCTACAGCGACTTCGAGAAAATGCTGCCCACCTTGGGGACAAGCGCCGGGATCTGGCCCACTTGGCTGCTGAGGTGGAGGGCAAGTGCTTACAGTCGGGCTTCGAGATGCTTAAGGTTCGATCTTTGTCCCTGCATAGCTCCACAGGCCAGTCCATCAGCCTAGGGTGCTCACTCTCCTGCTCTACTTCCCTAAGCCTAGCTCTCTCATCCAGACATACACAAAGGGTCTTTTTCTAAAGAAAGGCTCCTCTGATTCCTCCCATCTCCTTCTAATCACTTTTGCTTTTTATGTCTTGTCAACAATTATGTGCTTAAATTTGTACCAAAGCAAAAATTCATTCCTTTGAGAGGAGGGAAGTCTGATTTGCTTAGTGAAAAACTATGCTTTAAAAGTTTTATAAATGCAGCTATTGTTACTTTTTTAGTGCTAGAATAGAAATGAGCTGGCAGTGTGGCTCAAGTTGTGGAGAGCTTACATGGTGAGCATGAAGCCCTGAGTAGTTCAAACCCCAGTTCCATAAAAAAATTTTAAAATTTTTAAAAAGAATAGAAATATTATCTAAGGATACTTGAAATTCTGTGTAAATGATATATTGCTTTTGATATGTCAGTAGTGCCTCGGTTTTGTGTTCTTGCTCTCTCTCTCTCTCTCTCTCTCTCTCTCTCTTTTTGTGGTACTGGCATTTAAACTCAAGGCTTCATGTTTGCTAGGCAGGTGTTCTACCACTTGGGCCATGCCTCCAGCCCATAGTTCTGCTCTCTTAAGCAGATGCATGGTTTTGGCAAGACTATAGGGAGCATGTTTCTTATCTTGGAAAGCAGGTTATCAGCATTTAAGTCAGTGAAGTAGGGCTGGAGATGTAGCTCAGTGGTACAGTGCCTGCCTGGCATGCACAAGGCCCTGAGTTCAAATCCCAGCACCACCAAAAAAAAAAAACCCTCCCTAAGTCACTGAAGTGTCATTGTGCAATTATTTGCATGTTATATACTGCTTGGCATTTATTTCAGTGTCCTTTCATGTCCGTGCGTTCTGCTTTCCACATCCAGCTGAAAATCCTCATGGGGCAGAGATTTGCTTTCTTTGTATTCTGGACCCCAAATATTCTCAAATCAGGACTAGCCACACATTTACTAATGTTTATTAGCCAGTACCAGACAGGGTATACCAAGCCACAGTGGGAAAGCATAACTATTTTTCCTATGCTACCAGTTGTGGAATTACCTGTACTGATGCTCAAGGAGACCGAGGTGTGCAATTGGTACTTGAGTGATAAAACAAGGATCAGACACAATCCCCGTCCCCCTTGCAGGGTGCTCCCAGTGTCCTTGAGGAACAAAGACAAACATACAAGAAACTATTCGGAAGTGATATAAATTACCAAGCTTCATAATGACCAGCAGTTGAAAGTGGAGATTACATTGGGAGAGATGCATTCACTTCCCTCTGAAGCTCTTCCCCTTGCACTGTGACCCTCAGTTTGCCCAGAGCCTATTTTATAGATCTAGAACTTTTGGGAGAACTTTTGCCTTTTTGACCTTTGAATACCAGGACCAACCTTGCTTTCTTTTCTCATTCCCTATAGGATGTAAAAAGTACCCTGGAAAAGTAAGTGATTCTTGTATTTTTTTGAGTCAGTTTGGCTTGGGCTTAGAGAGAATTATGGGGTCCAGTAGTAAGTTGGGTGAGGATGGGAAAGTCATGTAGTGTCTGGGGAGGATATGGTTCGAGAAAGATTCATTGCATCCATCAAAGTTAGGTAGATAACAAATCATTAGGAGTAATAATCCCTGCCTTTTCTTCTTTGAACATGAGGATTTGGTTGACAAGGGAAAATGGTAATGTACAGCCAGAGTCTATTATGCCTCTGGATGGAACTGTGTCCAAACAAGATTGCAGAAAGAAGGGGTTGGGAGAGCAAGGAGGTGATTATCCATCTGCATGAAATACAAGAATATCCCCAGAAAGTTCTAAGGCTCAATCTCAAGATAAGGCTCTGTCCAGGGAAGAAAGAGAAAGTGGAAAGATGAGGAATTTTAGTTTCTTCTTAAAGGTGGCAACATCTGAAAATTACTTGGCTGGAGCTTCCCCTGACCCTACCCTTTCTTCTCCTATCTCCCTGTCCTTCCCAGATGTGAGAAGGTGAAGACCATGGAAGTGACTTCAGTATCTATAGAGCTGGAAAAGAACTTCAGCAATTTTCCCCGACAGTACTTTGCCCTAAGGAAAATTCTTAAACAACTAATTGGTGAGTTGCTCCCTAAAGGAAACTAACATATTAATTGCCAGAGAGAAGAAAGTCTTTAGATTCTACCTATAAACTCCAGTTTTTCAGGCCCATACTTATCCTTGCCCCTTTACCTTGCTTTCAGTCTCACCCTGAGTCAGAGAACTCCCAGTGAGAAGAAGCCTTAGGTGTCATCTATTCTAAATTAGGTTCACACCTTTCTAAATAGGAACCCAGAAAGGTTAAAGAATTTACATAAGTCATCAGGTAAGTGACCATATAATTTACCATCTCAGTTGGGAACTAGTCATGAACCAGGACCATTTCAGGAGAGCAGACATGATCACCCTGCCCCTAGACCATAAAGCTGACTTGCTCTAGACTGCTCCACTTTCTATTGTTTCTGGCCCCCAAACCAGCTGCTTGGCACTTCTCCATATGGTGAGGTAAATACTGGTTTCAGATGGGAGGATATTGCAGGAAGCAACACTACTAGCCCCAAAGAGTCAAGAGATAAGGGGAGAAGTGTAGCCATGCTTTTCTCCCCTCCCCTACAAAGTACCGTGAATGGAGAAGGTTGCCAACTCATGGTGTCCTGGGGACCTTTAAGGAGCCAGGCTGTGTACAAAGTGAGGCAGGGGTGTTTAGCTATTCCCATCCTCATCTAGCTCCCCACTCTGGCTTCTCCCGCCAGCGGATGTGACCCTGGACCCTGAGACAGCTCATCCTAACCTAGTCCTGTCAGAAGATCGCAAGAGTGTCAAGTTTGTGGAGACAAGGCTCCGCGATCTCCCCGACACACCCCGGCGTTTCACCTTCTACCCTTGTGTCCTGGCTACTGAAGGTTTCACCTCAGGTCGACACTACTGGGAGGTGGAGGTGGGAGACAAGACCCACTGGGCAGTGGGTGTGTGCCGGGACTCCGTGAGCCGAAAAGGCGAGCTGACTCCACTCCCAGAGACTGGCTACTGGCGGGTGAGGCTGTGGAATGGGGACAAGTATGCAGCCACCACCACACCTTTTACCCCTTTGCACATCAAGGTGAAGCCCAAGCGGGTGGGCATATTCTTAGACTATGAAGCTGGCACGCTATCTTTTTACAACGTCACAGACCGCTCGCATATCTACACCTTCACTGATACTTTTACTGAGAAACTTTGGCCCCTCTTCTACCCAGGCATCCGGGCTGGTCGGAAGAATGCTGCACCACTTACCATCAGGCCCCCAACAGATTGGGAGTGACAGGTTGGCACATGGGTTTAATTGAGGTGAGGCAGGGTCAAGAGCTGTGGGCCTTCCTTCCTGTGTCCTGCTGGAATGTCTTGGTGTCTGCCTGGTTCCAGTCCGAGTCATCTTGGAGACACTGGTCTCTAGGATGGTTCGTGTGGAGGAGTAGGTAGGATTGGGCTGCATGACGGCACAGCTGTGTCTCCCTCCCCATTGGGGTAGGGAGCTGGTACCCAGGGAATTGTCTCCCTGATGTCCATCAGGTGTTTTATTGCACAAGGACAAGTTGGGAAGGATGATGAGGCTTTTCCAGAAATACAAAGTCTAGGAGAGGGTCTCGCTTGCTCAAACTGGAGGAAACAGAAGCCTTTAGGGGCTTCTCTGACCCAGAATAGTCTTGTTCCTTGAGGAAGATCATAGGAATCTAGGCTGAAAAATGATGACTGACAGTTGCTATCAAGGGTCTAGAAGTTGAGGAGTTTTTCTGAGGACAGAGATTGGGCATCAAAAAGGTTAGAAGGAGGATCAGGGAAGGTGGCTAAAGGAACATTATCCAAGAAACTAATGAAGGGGGTGGAAGTTTCTTTAGTTCCTAGGGTAAGGTTGCCATTGTGAGTAGGATTGGCCAGAGGTAGGAACATGGGGGTAGAGAGAGGGTGGGAAGAAAGGAAAACCCTGGTCCCTACTTCAGCCTTCAGCAAAGCTGGCTTCTTGCCTGCCTCTTAATGTTGGTTGTCTTCAGGAAGTTGCTCACATGCCTCTTCTCCAGAGGTGAGGTGAGGAAATCCTGCAAGACACATCTACCTTTCCACTGTTTTCCCAAGAGAACTCCAGAGAAAAGTCAGGTATTAGAGGAAAGAGAAGGTACGTCTATCCAAAGCCCTGGCCTTAAAGAATGTCACTAAGTAGCTACTCCCAGGTTGTCAACCTTATTGTGTGGCTCAGGTGTCTAATCCAGAAAGGAAGGAAGGTAATGAGTCTTTCTCACCCTAAGGACAGGGTGGAAGAAGGTGGTATGTGTAGGGAAGGGCCAGAGAGGAAACTTCCTTTTGCCTGTGTACATCTGGCCCAGAACCTAGTGTTCACATTAGCCTTTTGCTCGTTCTGTCACCATCCTTCAACCTTCACCATTCCCCTTTACAGAGAATGTAAATCATTTTAATGTTAGGCCAAAATAAACAACCTATAGGGTATATATGTTGTCAAAAAGGTAAAGCAATGCATGCCAAACCAAACAAAAACAACTTGGATCATCTGCTGCTTGGGTAATCGTCACAGAAGACTGAGACAAGAAACTGCAGTTTATCGAGGGCATCAGTTCCTCCTACCACCTCAAAAGGATTTTGTCCACTCTCCTCCTCTTACCTTTGTGCCTTGACTGTGGTTCTTTGTGGCAAGATACTTTGATTGGTAAAAATAATATGGAACAAAGGATCCACTGAAGTAATCTCTGTGTTGTGTGGTAATTTGGTGATAACCTTATGTTGATGTGTAAGGAACACTGCATGTGAAAAATATATATTCCTTGATCTTAGCTCAGTGTTTCATAGAGGTCTGGGTGGACCTGGAATCTACGTTTTAAGCACACTCTCATCATTTGAGTCTGAGAACCCTTGTGAAACTCCACTCTAAGGAAGTTTCAGCTAATTGTCCTTCCTCTGAGTTCTCTGCCCAGCCTGGCAGAGGGTCAGAGAGGGGAGAGCTGTCACACACACACACACACACACACAAGTTGAAAGGGGAGCACTGTCACACACACACACACACACAAGTTGAAAGGGGAGCACTGTCACACACAAGTTGAAAGGGGAGCACTGTCACACACACACACAAGTTGAAAGGGGAGCACTGTCACAAGTTGAAAGGGGAGCACTGTCACACACACACACACAAGTTGAAAGAGAGCACTGTCCACACAAGTTGGGGGAGCACTGTCACACACCACACACAAAGTTTGAAAGGGGAGCATTGTCACAATAGTTTGAAAGGGGAGCACTGTCACAAGTTGAAAGGGGAGCATGTCAACACACACACAAGTTGAAAGGGAGCACTGTCACACACACAAGTTTGAAAGGGAGCACTGTCAACACACACAAGTTGCAAAGGGGAGCACTGTCCCACACACACACAAGTTGAAAGGGGAGCACTGTCTCACACCACACACACACACACACACCCTCAACTCTGCATCCCTGTTTCTGAAGAGATCAGACTGCTGCCCTTGAAATGTTTAGCAGTTTTAAGATCCTCTCCTGCTCCAGTAATCTCTTTTAGTGATCAAGGATTGAAGAAGACTGGAAGGAATCCAAAACAAAGGGACGCCAGGGCTTGATTGATCTGTGGGAATGGATTTACAAACAGGTGCTTGTGGGGCCGCGGCTCAGGCACTACACTGCCCAGGAGGAACCTTGCGAGGACGGCGAGCAGGCCTACGTGTGCGGCGCTCGAGCTGCGCAGATGACCGGGAGCAAGGGTAAAAGGACCGTTCGAGCCTCCTAGAGGCTCAGCTTCCTGTACAGGTGCAGTCCCAAAGGTCTCGTGCGGGAAGGGAGCCCAGTGCAGCCGGCCGCGTGGGACCCGCTCGCGTCCCCTAGCCGCCCACTGTGTCCTTGCGCGACCCCGAGAAAAAACCAGGCGCTTGGCGATTGGTTTTACTGCCACACGGAGGAAGACCAGTCGCGAAGCGGCTGCGTCTCTGCCGGGTGAGACGGCGTCGGGGTCAGGCGGCCGGCGGCGGACCAGGACGGGCGAGGGACGCGGATCGCCCTGACGCCTTTGCCCTCCGCCCCAGCGGATCCCCTTCGGTTGGTAAAAGGACCCTGTGTCGCGGCTGCTCCTCCCTGCTGGTCCGGGCCTCAGCCTGTTACCCAGCGCAGAGAACTGAGTGCTGCTGCCGGAGCTTGGCTGATGGGCCTGAAGCGCCAGGGAGGCGGAAGGGGAGGCAGGACAGGGCAGGGCGCCCGCACAGCTCCTTCTCCCGTTAGACGACATGGAGGCTTCGGATTATGCCGGAACCAGTCTTCTTTTTCAGCTCTGGCTTAAGTGTCTAAACCACTACGTTAGACAAGCCGAGACTTTTCCCTACCTGGCACAGAAAAATGATGATTGCCTTAGAGGCATCCTGTCGCTTGTTGGCATAAATATAGATAAGAAGTTCCATCCCCATTTCGTCCATTCACTCAGAAGTATTTTTTAGAATGTGTCGGTTGCTGGACTCATCGTTCTCATTGATGAAATGTAATTCATTGAAACTTACAGACTGATTGGGACAGACGAATAAATAAAAAACAAATTAGATAGTGTTAGAAAGAAGGCTTTAATTGGAACGTAGAAGTTACTCATGGCCAGCTGTGGTTGAGGTTTGTGGTAAACAAAACTGAAGAGAGAGAAATTCTCGGCCGACGGTTGATGATTTCCAGACGGAGAACTTGTGTGCCATCAGGAAATAAGTCGTTCAGAAGCCTAGAGTTTGAAAGTAGACAGACTCGGAAAGAAGTGAGGCTGGAGAGGGGAAACAGCCAGATCGTGAAGAGTCTTGTTAAGGAGTGGAGTTTTTCTTAAAGAATTGCAAAAATTGAAAGAGTTATCAGAGGAGGCTGACATCACGAAATTTGTATTCCAAAGTGGGGTTAAGGGTATGATTCCTAATGAAAAAATGTGAAATGCAAAACCAGTACAAAAACCTTTTCTTCTCAGAAGCCTGAATACTCTTCCTTTTTCCCACTTTTACTCCAGGCCGCAGGGACAGCGCTGGACAGTACGACCTGCCTAACGTGCGACGCAGCCAGCGATTTCTCAATGATCCCAAGCATCTACTCTGGGGGGATCGCCTGAGGCCCAGCTGGGTACCCAGACACGGTGAGAGGTGGTAGGGAAAAACAGGCAGAGCAGGGACGGTGGTATAGAATTTGAAGTGGTACACAGGTGAGTCTGTTGGTTTAGTGGGACCACAATCTTAGGAAACTAATTCTCCTGCTGTGATTCTGCTCATCTACCCAGATTCCAAAACCACCAGAGCCCTCCAAATCCAGCCATCTTCCTACGGAGAAAGTGCAGCTTCAGGCCTGCAAGTCACCAGGGATGGGTTTCACCCCATCTTCCGAATAAATAAACCTTAATCTGTTTGACTTTGTGTGAGTCCTAATCTTGTGGGCATTTCAACTCATAATTCCATTGTCCTTCATTTCTATTTGCATTTCTTGGTCACTCCCCAAACCTCTCTTTGTCCTTACATCTTTGTGCGTCCTACATGTAGGGAGATCCCAATTTCCATTAGGGCCACTTGCTCCCATTAAGCAGCGCCACCCTTTCAGGGCCATGATTCCAGTGCCCAGTCACCCTCCTTCCTCAGTGCAGTGCTGTGTTTGGGACTGAAACTCCAGAGTTTTTTAGGTCCTTAGACTTCGTAGCTATTCCATACTTAGGTAGCCCTAATTTACCAACTACTGATATTGAACTAAAGGCCTGGACAGAATGCTGAGTGCTAACTACAGCCATGTTTAAATGAGGGGGAAAGCATGGAGAAGAGAGTGTTCATATCCTCCAACACTGGTCAGAGTTGGTCTTTTCCTGCAGAGTTGTATTCTATAAAATTCTGGGAAAAAAGAAAAAAAGTCCTGTATAATTCTAATAGGGATGTGTTGCAAATCTGAACTTACCAAGCCTGAAGGTGCTAATGAAAAGCACACTTTCAGATAATACATAGACATGCTCTGTTAGGTAAAACTCCCTTCAAAATTTCTTGAGAATCGGTAAACAACCTGGGGTGAAATGTTTTTCTTGAATCCTAGAGAGCCTACTCAAGGAAAGCATTTTCAGACCTTTTTGTGGCTGCCAGCTAATTCAGAGTACTCGTATACAAACAAAATTCACTATTCCTAAATTGGTTCTCTTTCTTCCGTTTCTATATATAATCTGTGTTGCACTACCTGTTGCTGCATAAAATCTTAACAAGGCTTAAAACAAACAATCTGCATTCAGAATTCTGAAAGGGATTCTGCTCCATATAGAATCAGCTTGTAGTCACCACTGCATTTAGCTAGTAGCTGGTCTAGAAAACCCAAGAAACTAAGTCCTCCTGGCCAAAGTAAGGACATGGCATGGCTTAGATCCAGTGTGAAAGAGCTGTAGAAAGGCATTGAATAGTAGGAGTTTATTGGTTCCCTGGAACCATGATGTAATAATCCACCATATATTTGCCTTTATCCCTGACTGTCTCTCCTACTGACTCCTTCATATGTCAGTAAATTATTTGCATAGAAAATACTAAACTGTGGCAAGTAACTTAAGTTCTTGGGTTATTCTTGCCATTTATTTCGGGAGATAGTTCTACTTGGGTCAAACTGTGACAGCCAACAGATACATGCCTAAAAGTACAGTTCGTGCAGACCTGGACCCTTTTTTACCCTAGTCAAAACATTTTCCTATTTTTAAAAGTTTTTATCATAAAATAATGCAAGGGGATTTCATTGTTGATAATTCCTTACATGCGTACAGTGCAGTTCACCACATATTTCCATTCCCCCTCTTCCTTCTCCCACACCTGGACCCGTTTGCATCTTTAGCTCATCCACGTTAGTCCTCTGAAATGTCACTTCTGATGGTGAGCTCACTGGCCCTTGGACACTTAATCTGATGTCTTGGCCTAGTTTTCCTGAGTTGCTGTGATTTCACATGGCACCATAATGAAGACTCTATCCCATACAACATCTGCCCCCCCCAAAAAAAAGCCTCACATTAAAAAAAGTTGTAACTCTAAGTACACAGACCTCTTTCTGCTTCTCAAAACTGTTTTTTCCATGTCATCATATCATGATCTAAATATGTGTATACATAACACTTAAACCACAATTTTAGATATATACACTGTATAGTATTAATCTGTGCTAGTAGTGGATTTACTTATACCAATAAGATGAAAAAACCAAATCCCAGGTGAATGCTTTTCAAATATCTCGAACAATACAAAATTTTATTGTACCCTTTCAAACTAAAAGAACCAAGAACAACTACCTAATGTTCATCCGAACTGGAATCAAGAAAATGAGGTCTTCCAAATATCCATACAAACCGTCTTTATCATTCCCTGAAACTTAAGTTCATTCAGCACTTTCAAACTGGTTATGTACCCTTTCAAAACTAAAAGGAAAAGAACAAACCTAGTCATCCGATGAATCAAGAAAATGAGGTTCCCATATCCATACAAACCGTCTTTATCATTCCCTGAACTTAAGTTCATTCAGCATTTCAAAACTGGTTAAAAAAAAAATAGGGCTGGGGTATATGCAGTAGAGCACTTAGCAGAAAGCCCTAGATTTAATCCCAGCAACTGGAAAAAACTCGTAAAAAATGAGTATTTAGATTCTTCTTCCAGACCAATAATAAATAATCGATTTTGCGTTTTGGGTCACCTCACAGTAGTTTGTATCAAATA